TTTTCAGAGTGGTTAATTTAGTACATAAAATTATTTACGATGTTTAGAAAGTTTCTCGAGAAGATTAAATTAATTTTTAAAAATTTTCAGAGTGGTTAATTTAGTACATAAAATTATTTTTCAGAATGGTCAATTATTACATAAAATTATTTTTTATATTTAGAAAATTTCTCGAGAGTTGTAAATTAAATTTTAAAAATTTTCAAATTTGTTAATTACGTACATAAAATTATTTACTATGTTTAGAAAGTTTCTCTATAGTTGTAAATTAATTTTTAAAAATTTTGAGAGTGGTCAATTTAGTACATAACATTATTTTCTATATTTTAAAAGTTTCTAGAGAGTTTATAAAATTATTTTTATAAATTTTCAGAATGGTCAATTTAGTACATAAAATTATTTTCTATATTTAGAAAGTTTCTCGAGAGTTTATAAAATTAATTTTTAAAAATTTTCAGAGTGGTTTATTTAGTACATAAAATTATTTTCTATATTTAAAAAGTTTCACGAGAGTTTATAAAATTATTTTTAACAAATTTTTAGAGTGGTTAATTTAGTACATAAAATTATTTTCTATATTTAGAAACTTTCTCGAGAGTTGTAAATTAATTTTTAAAAATTTTAACAGTGGTCAATTTTGTACATAAAATTATTTTTTATATTTTAAAAGTTTCTCGAGAGTTTATAAAATTATTTTTAAAAATTTTTTGAGGGGTCAATTTAGTACATAAAATTATTTACTATATTTAGAAAGTTTCTCTAGAGTTTAAAAAATTATTTTTATAAATTTACAGAGTAGTCAATTAGTACATAACATTATTTTCTATATTTAGAAAGTTTCTCGAGAGTTATAAATTAATTTTTAAAAATTTTCAGAATGGTCAATTTAGTACATAAAATTATTTTCTATATTTTAAAAGTTTCTCGCGAGTTTATAAAAATATTTTTAAAAATTTTTTGATGGTCAATTTAGTATATAAAATTATTTACTATATTTAGAAAGTTTTTCGAAAGTTTATAAATTATCAGAGTGGTCAATTTAGTACATATAATTATTTTCTATATTTTAAAAGTTTCTCGAGAGTTTATAAAATTATTTTTAACAAATTTCAGACGGTGCAATTTAGTATATAAAATTATTTTCTATGTTTGGAAAGTTTCTCGAGTGTTTATAAAATTATTTTTAAAAATTTTCAGAGTGTGCAATTTAGTATATAAAATTATTTACTATATTTAGAATGTTTTTCGAGAGTTATAAATTAGTTTTTAAAATTTTTCAGAGTGGTTAATTTAGTACATAAAATTATTTACGATGTGTAGAAAGTTTCTCGAGAGGATTAAATTAATTTTTAAAAATTTTCAGAGTGGTTAATTTAGTTCATAAAATTATTTACTTTGTTTAGAAAGTTTCTCTAGAGTTGTAAATTAATTTTTCTATATTTTAAGAGTGGTCAATTTAGTACATAAAATTATTTTCTATATTTTAAAAGTTTCTCGAGAGTTTATTAATTTAGTTTTAAAATTTTTTAGAGGGGTCAATTTAGTATATAAAATTATTTACTATATTTAGAAAGTTTCTCGAGAATTAAAAAAATTATTTTTATAAATTTTCAGAGTGGTGAATTAGTACATAAAATTATTTTCTATATTTAGAAAGTTTCTCGAGAGTTTATAAAATTATTTTTATAAATTAACAGAGTGGTCAATTTAGTACATAAAATTATTTTCTTTATTTAAAAAGTTTCACGAGAGTTTATAAAATTATTTTTAACAAATTTCAGATGGTGCAATTTAGTATATAAAATTATTTACTATTTTTAAAAAGTTTCTCGAGAGTTTATAAAATTATTTTTATAAATTTTTAGAGTGGTCAATTTAGTACATAAAATTATTTTCTATATTTAGAAAGTTTCTCGAGAGATATAAATTAATTTTTAAAAATTTTTAGAGTGGTCAATTTAGTACATAAATTATTTTCAATATTTTAAAAGTTTCTCGATAGTTTATAAAATTATTTTTAAAATTTTTTAGAGTGGTTAATGTGTACATAAAATTATTTTCTATATTTAGAAAGTTTCTCGAGAGTTATAAATTAATTTTAAAAATTTTCAGAGTGGTCAATTTAGTACATAAAATTATTTACTATATTTAGAAAGTTTCTTGAGAGTTGTAAATTAATTTTAAAAAATTTTCAAAATCGTCAATTTAGTACATAAAATTATTTTCTATATTTTAAAAGTTTCTCGCGAGTTTATTAAAATATTTTTAAAAATTTTTAGATGGTCAATTTAGTACATAAAATTATTTACTATATTTGGAAAGTTTCTCGAGAGTTTATAAAATTATTTTTATAAATTTTCCGAGTAGTCAATTTAGTACATAAAATTATTTTCTATATTTAGAAAGTTTCTCGAGAGTTTATAAAATTATTTTTAAAAAATTTTTGAGGGGTCAATTTAGTGTATAAAATTATTTTCTATGTTTAGAAAGTTTCTTGCGTGATTATAAAATTATTTTTAAAAAATTTCAGATGGTGCAATTTAGTATATAAAATTATTTACTATATTTAGAAAGTTTTTCGAGAGTTATAAATTAATTTCTAAAAATTTCCAGAGTGGTTAATTTAGTACATAAAATTATTTACGATGTTTAGAAAGTTTCTCGAGAGTTGTAAATTAATTTTTATAAATTTTCAGAGTGGTTAATTTAGTACATAAAATTATTTGCTATGTTTGGAGAGTTTCTTGAGAGTTGTAAATTAATTTTTAAAAATTTTAAGAGTGGTCAATTTTGTACATAAAATTATTTTTTATATTTTAAAAGTTTCTCGAGAGTTTATAAAATTATTTTTAAAAATTTTTAGAGGGGTCAATTTAGTACATAAAATTATTTACTATATTTTGAAAGTTTTTCGAGAGTTTAAAAAATTATTTTTATAAATTTTCAGAGTGGTCAATTAGTACATAAAATTATTTTCTATATTTAGAAAGTTTCTCGAGAGTTTATAAAATTATTTTTATAAATTAACAGAGTGGTCAATTTAGTACCTAAAATTATTTTCTATATTTAAAAATTTGCACGAGAGTTTATAAAATTATTTTTAACAAATTTCAGACGGTGCAATTTAGTATATAAAATTATTTACTATTTTTAGAAAGTTTCTCGAGAATTTATAAAATTATTTTTATAAATTTTTAGAGTGGTCAATTTAGTACATAAAATTATTTTCTATATTTAGAATGTTTCTCGAGAGTTATAAATTAATTTTTAAAAATTTTTATAGTGGTCAATTTAGTATATAAAATTATTTTTTATATTTAGAAAGTTTCTCGAGAGTTATAAATTAATTTTTAAAAATTTTCAGAATGGTCAATTTAGTACATAAAATTATTTTCTATATTTAGAAAGTTTCTCGAGAGTTTATAAAATTATTTTAAAAAAATTTCAGAGGGGTCAATTTAGTATATAAAATTATTTTCTATGTTTTGAAAGTTTCTTGAGTGATTATAAAATTATTTTTAAAAAATTTCAGAGGGTGCATTTTAGTATATAAAATTATTTACTATATTTAGAAAGTTTTTCGAGAGTTATAAATTAATTTTTAATACTTTTTAGATTGGTTTATTTAATACATAAAATTATTTTCTATATTTAAAAAGTTTCTCGAGAGTTTATTAAATTATTTTTATAAATTTTCAGAGTGGTTAATTTAGTATATAAAATTATTTTCTATATTTAGAAAGTTTCTCGAGAGTTTATAAAATTATTTTTATAAATTTACAGAGTGGTCAATTTAGTACATAAAATTATTTTCTATATTTAAAAAGTTTTTCGAGTGTTTATAAAATTATTTTTAACAAATTTTAGATGGTGCAATTTAGTATATAAAAAAAATTACTATTTTTTGAAAGTTTCTCGAGAGTTTATAAAATTATTTTTATAAATTTTTAGAGTGGTCAATTTAGTACATAAAATTATTTACTATATTTAGAAAGTTTCTCGAGAGTTTATAAAATTATTTTTAAAAATATTTAGAGGGGTCAATTTAGTACATAAAATTATTTACTATATTTAAAAAGTTTGTCTAGAGTTTATATAATTATTTTTATAAATTTTTAGAGTGGTCAATTTAGTACATTTAATTATTTTCTATGTTTAGAAAGTTTCTTTATAGTTTATATAATTATTTTTATAAATTTTTAGAGTGGTCAATTTAGTACATTTAATTATTTTCTATGTTTAGAAAGTTTTTCGAGAGTTTATAAAATTATTTTTAAAAATATTTAGAGGGGTCAATTTAGTACATAAAATTATTTACTATTTTTTGAAAGTTTCTCGAGAGTTTATAAAATTATTTTTATAAATTTTTAGAGTGGTCAATTTAGTACATTTAATTATTTTCTATGTTTAGAAAGTTTCTTTAGAGTTTATATAATTATTTTTAGCAATTTTTACATGGGTCAATTTAGTACCTAAAATTACAAGGGAAGAGAAACGTTCGCCATTATAGTTTGACTTAGCTAGCTCCCAGTGCTATCAGTCACCATTTCATGTGTTTAATAATTAACGTTGTTGCACCCTGGGTAGTTGGTTGACTTAAAAGTTATGACTGGAGGGTCAAGGGCTCTTAATGATATTGAAAGGTCTGGATTGCGTCTCTTGTTGACACATAAAATTAAAATCCGACCAATGAATTCATTACCCACACGCGATTTACCTCTGTAGTAATTCTAGGGGCGAGTCCGTTTGGATGGAGGCCAGGTGAATAGCAAAATATCACTCGTTTAGTTATATTTGCATTGATATTGATAATATTTTATTAAAAAAAATCTCAAATTATAAAATAATAGTGGATTCATTCTGTGTAATAGACTTCTATCAGTGGACTATAAAATGAAGATGTCACTGCTCACATCACTTTGTCCAGTGATCAGAGGCTGCCTTCCATACTAATTATCGCTTATTTTTAATTCCATAATATATTTAATTAAGGTTTGTCATTCTCCAAGGTTCCAACTTGCATTCTTGAATAAATAAATAAGATCCCTTACGTACAACAATCCAACCCTTGATTGCATGTCTCGATGTCACGTTGAGATATTTAAAAAAAAAAAAAAAACTATTATTTAAATCAGTGTAAAACGAAAAAGCTAGTGATTGAATACACTCCCCTAAGTGACGAGATAAAGGGAACACGATACAATTAGTTAACTAGCTAGTGTGTATTGTCATTGGGGGGAAGGGTTCCATTGATGAAGGAAGAGAAGAGCACAAGTGCCCGCGCTGGCTGATAACTAGGAACAAAATGCCCTGCTCCTCGTACTGTCACCAACGTTATGTTTTCATATTCCTCTACATATCCACCAACCTGCGATCATCATGTTAGATCACAGAATTGAAAGGTTAAACTGATAATAGGTGAATTTTATATATTATTTATATTTAACATGTATAGTATTCTAATTTTTTGTACATCAAGTTATTAATTACCTCGTATCCTGGGAGATACCAAGGGTACCAAGGAGTTTTAACCGTTACTCCAAGTTTGTACAAGGCATATCGTGTGTCTGTTATTGGCACTCTATTATCTGTATCTCCACTGTACATCACATTAAAGTTAAAAGAACTATTAGATACCGCTGCACGAACTATTACATATACAATTGATCTCTCATTTCTTTTTGGATGAAGATGAAAATCCGCAACTACCCCTTAAAGATGTACACGGGATAAACTCTACCTAATAATCCTATCTAGAAAATGACCACAAAGAGATAAATTAATCTTGATTTTTCATAACTGATTTATTCAAACTAACTGATTGATTCAGTACAAGCATACATGGATTGCTTAATTAGTAATTACCTGTACAGCCAGATACGAATACCAGTTCCCATCAATTCCGTTATGACCGGTAAAACAGTTGGCGGCACTTTCCAGCCGGCAAAAAGTGTGAAGCTGAGAAAAAATAACACGAAAATCATCGCCAGTAATCTACGTGGAAACTAACTGTATATGGAAATTAAAGAAACATTTCAAGTAAAGTAAAATGCATATATGCATACTTGCACTTGTCCCATGGATGGGCACTGGCAGTTATGTTTGCATGAAGAGCAGCCTGAACCTCAAGAGTGTTTAAGTATGTGTACGTATAATCTTCAGTGCAGGGATCATATCCAGAGATCTGTACGTTCAAATAAATCACAAAAACAAATTCATAATCATAATATCTTCATTAATAGTACGAATGATTCTTATGTTTTTTTATACTGACAGAATACGATGAGGGTGTGCCAGAACCGCATAACGGAGCGTAGATGTCGTACGAGTAAATATTTCCAGATTCATCGCTCATTTGACCGTCAACTAAATCTAAGCATTTGTCTGACGTAGCACTGGGAATAGAGAAATTGCAGGTTGTTAAGATGTTCTTATATAGTTCATCGGAAATCAAAGCATGACTCCAATAGTAGTCCGCCGTTCCCTGCAAATTCGCTTCATAGTCCACATATGCATTTCCAATCTGAGGATTAATGCAGCAACATATATTATATAATTTTCGATACTTTTAAGGAACAACTTAATTAAACGTGTTTTGTGGGCTTACAGCAATGCCTTTGAGATTGATTCTTGTCTGGTTTGTGTGCTGGTTGTTGTGCAATATAAGCTGAGCCAGCTGGGGAACATAGTGCCCTGCGTAACTCTCTCCTGTAAGGTAAAAATCCCTAGTCTTGTATTCTGGGAATCTCTCGAGCCAGTTAACTAGAAATGTATATGTATCCTGGGCTGTGCTTTCGTCTCCAACGTTGTCATAGTCCGAGCTTGTATTTGTGTACGAGAATCCAACTCCAATAGGTGATTCCAGAAAAATTATATTTGCAACTAGTAAAAAAAATGTTCCTATCAGATCATACTTAGTAGTTAAGCGGATATATAAATGGATTATTAATATGTATACTCACGGTTATTCCACGCATATGGATTATTGTTAAGAGTTTTGCCATCTTTAGCAGGTCTAAATGGCCCGAGTTCCCCGAATGCTCCTCCTCCAAGCGAAGAACAACCTGGTCCTGTATATGAAAGCATTATATTCAAAATATTTTCATATGTGGTTTCAACAAATCTTTTGTAACTTTGTTGTTGTGTATGTACTTACCTCCATTAAGCCATAGAACAAGGGGTTTAGAAGAAGGATTTTGGGGCGATTCTGCGAAGTAATAAAACAAAGCTTTTCCAGTAATGGGATCTATAGTAACATGCCCTGCATATTGAGCGAAATCTACACCTTTGGATTGTCCAGGTAAGTTCTCAATCTTGTCACTCTCCTTGAGCCCATCTTGAAGGCCAATATACACAGGGATATTTGAACTTGATACAAGTTTTGTCTTATCAATATTATCTACAACATTTGTGTATCTTAGCCTAGACAACAACAAATCTTCCCTGCCTAATGAACTGACACCTTTGGCCTCATAGCAGTGAATACAAGTAGCTAACAGGAAGAGGAAAGAGAAGGTGAAGAAAAGAGAGACATTAGCCATTGCTGCCAATACCGATGATTCAAATTAATCTTGGAACATCAATCCTATTTAAAGTAGAATTTATTGTAATTGGACTGTTCTTAAGTGTTATTGGACCATATAAAAGTTGTGTACCATATTGATGGATTAATCAATTGTTAGTTATATGTAGGTTTCTTTGAATAGTAAACTACGACCAACATTGTGATGACATAACATATGCATGCGATTCATAGTAATCAATGTTTTTTAAGGAAAATACTAATCCTACTTCTAAATTCTACTCCCAACTTTTAATTTACTCTCTCTCACAAAATTTTAATATTGACATTTTTGTTGAGATGAACGGAAGAAAATAACTAATATAATCATCAATTGTCACAACAAAAAGAAAAAGTGAGAAGTAGAAATCGAGAGTATATGTAGTATAACTCTTTTTTTTTTTTTTAATGCATTCTTCTCCCAAATATTTTTTAATGCATTCTTGTCCCTACCGTTTGAATAGTTTTTCGAAGATAAGGACAAATTTATCACTCTAACAAGTAATGTTTGGAGACTATTGTTGACGGGTAGTTCAATAGTTCTATTCTGTCTGTATTCTTTCATCCTTAGCTTTCAGCATTGACGCGGTCAACAATCGAATATGATTACAATTTTCATTCTATTTGATTTTTTTAAAAAAGAAATTAGTTGTCATTATTTGAAAGTAGAGTTAAATTGTTCATAATTGATTGACTCAAACTAAGATAATCAATAATAGGGTTAAATTATCAATAATTAATTATCAATAGTTAATTAGTTCAAGAATGTCAATAGATAACTTTTTTAAGAAATTGAACTTGAAACTTTAATTTGTAGTTACCAAGTCAATTGTTCGACCAATAGTTTAGTCTAATTCTTTGTCTTGATCGCCATATGTGTAATGCGGCTAACTAATTCTTAATTAGCATCAAATTAATTGTTACGTGGTGTGACGGTCAGGCCAACGTTCTTTGGTTGTTTTTTATGTTCATTACACATATTTTTTCACTTAATAAAGTGGTATCTTTAATTTATAACATTAGAACTAAGGAATAAGGGCAAAAAGTTGTGTACCATATTGATAGATTTTGATCAATTGTTTTATGTTGTTTTCTTTGAATAGTAAACTACGATACCATATGCCGATCGATTCGTAGTAATCAATATGTTTTTAACGCATTCTTATCCCTACCGTTGGATAGTTTCTCGAAGCTAAGGTAAGGCAAAACTTCAATTTCCAATCCGACAAGTAGTGTTTGGGGACTATTGTTAACGGGTAGTTGAATACTAATTTCATTTTTTATTTTAAATTTATAGGTGACACTTCACTTTTAATCTTTTTATGAGAACAAGGTTTTAGTATTATTGTAACATTATCATTTTTTATTTTTCTTCAACAAAATCGTTGAAATGTTGTTAAATATAAAGACATTTCGAACATTTTTATATAAAGTGAGTTGACCATGCTATATTTTTATGTTTATTTTTTCGAAAAAATTCGTAATTGAAGACTGAAATGACTTTGTATTTAACGACATTAAAACTGTTTTGGTGATAGATGACAAAAAATGGTCATACCATAATAATACTATGACCAAATGTGAATGTTCTGATAAAAAAGGACTAAAAGTAGACTGCCACCTATAAATTTTAAATTTATTATTAAAAATTATTAAAAATGCCAACTCAGCTGCCACGTAAGCAGGTAACTAGCTAAAATAGATGGTAACCTACTATTCGGTGAAATTTCATAGATTTGGAGTGTTCAGTGACCTAATTGCACATTTTTGGAGTGTTGAGTGGCCTAATTGCACTTCTTTTTTTTTTTTTTTTTCGTTCAGTAGTCTAATTGCATTTTTAGGTTACGTGCAGTGACCAATTTTAACCTTATTCCATTATTTTATAATTGTGTGTAAAAAGAAGAGTGGAGTACATTTTGGGATAAAGGGAGTACAATTAATTAGCTAAGCTAGGTTTTAGTGTTCTGCGGGGGAAGCGTTCCATTGATGAAGGAAGAGAAGAGCACAAGTGCCCGAGCTGGCTGATAACTAGGAACCAAATGCCCTGCTCCTCGTACTGTCACCAACGTTATGTTCTCATATTCCTCTACATATCCACCAACCTGCAACGATCATCGTGTTAGATCATAAAATTGAAATGTTAAACTGATAGTACTGAATTTTATATATTACATAGTTAACAAATAATATCATAATTCTTATTTGAGACATTAATTACCTCGTATTTCGAGAGATACCAAGGGTATCAAGGAGTTTTAACTGTTACTCCGAGTTTATACAAGACATATCGTGTGTCTGTTATTGGCGCTACACTGTCTGTATCTCCACTATAAATCACATTAGAGTTAACTGAACAATTAGATGTCACCCAGCCTTGTAACTTTAACCGCCAAACCAGTCTAGATTGTTTATAACTGACAACCTCAAATCAAGAAAGCAAATATTTTGGGAGTTTGATTCCGTGCGTGCATGCATGGATGGTTTAATTAGTCATTACCTGTACAGCCAGATACGAATACCAGTTCCCATCAACTCTGCTATGACCGGTAAAACAGTTGGGGGCACTTTCCAGCCGGCACCAAGTGTGGAGCTGACAAAAATAACAGGAAAATCATCGGTAAGTAATATACGGAGAAACTGTATGTATATATGGGAATTAAAGAAACCTTTCTAGTAAATTAAAAGCCGTACTTGCACTTCCTCCATGGATGAGCACTGGCAGTTATGTTTGCATGAAGAGCAGCCTGAACTTGAAGAGTGTTTAAGTAGGTGTATATATAATCTTGAGTGCAGGGATCATATCCAGAGATCTGTACGTTCAATCACGAAAAACCAATTCAATTCATAATCTCTGATCTTCCTTAATATTACTATACGAATGATTCTTGTTTTTGATACTGACAGAATACGAGGGTGTGCCAGAACCGCATAAGGGAGCGTAGATGTCGTACGAGTAAATATTTCCAGATTCATCTCTCCTTTGACCATGAACTAACTCTAAGCATTTGTCTGACGTAGCACTGGGAATAGAGAAATTGCAGGTGGATACGATGTTCTTATATAGTTCATCGGAAATCAAAGCATGACTCCAAAAGTAGTCCGCCAATCCCTGCATATTTGCTTCATAGTCCACATATGCATTTCCGATCTGAGGATTATATTATATTGCAGCAACATGTATCATCAGTAACACTCATAATTATCGATGCTTTTAAGGAACAACTTGAACATGTTTTCTGGGCTTACAGCAATGCCTTTGAGATTGATTCTTGACTGGTTTGTGTGCTGGTTGTTGTGTACTATAAGCTGAGCGAGCTGGGGAATATAGTGTCCAGCGTAACTCTCTCCTGTAATGTAGAAATCCCTAGTTTTGTATTCTGGAAACCTTTCGAGCCAGTTAACTAGAAATGTATACGAATCCTGCGCTGTGCTGTCGTCTCCTACGTTGTCGTAATCTGAGCTTGTATTTGAGTACGAGAATCCAACTCCAATAGGTGATTCAAGAAAGATTATATTCGCAACTGGTAAAAAAATGTTCATATAAGATCATACTTAATTAAGTAGTAGTTAAGCGTATATATAATTGAATTATTAATATGTATACTCACCGATATTCCATGCATATGGATTATTGTTAAGAGTTTTACCATCTTTGGCAGGTCTAAATGGCCCAAGTTCTCCGAATGCTCCCCCAGCAAGCGAAGAACAACCTGGTCCTGTATGTAGATAGAAGTGTTCAAACTTCAAAGCATTTTCATATATGGTTTCCACAAATCTTTTGTAACTTTTCTTGCCTTGTACTTACCTCCATTAAGCCACATAACAAGGGGTTTAGAAGAAGGATTTTGGGGAGATTCTGTGAAGTAATAAAACAAAGCTTTCCCAGTAACTGGATTTATAGTAACATGTCCTGCATATTGAGTGAAATCTACTCCGTTGGACTGTCCAGGTAAGATTTCGATCTTGTCACTCTCCTTGAGCCCATCTTGAGGGCCAATATACATAGGGATATTCGAGCTTGATACAAGTTGTGTCGTGTCAATATCATCTACAACATTTGTGTATCTTAGTGTAGACAACAATAATTCTTCCCTGCTTAATGAATTGAAACCTTTGGCCTCATAGCATTGAATATAAGTAGCTAACAGGAAGAGGAAAGGGAAGGAGAAGAAAAGAGAAACTTTAGTCATTTTTGCTGCCAATACTCTGATGATTCAAAGCTTGGAACATCAACCCAGCCTATTTAAAGTAGAATTATTATAATTGGACTCTTCTTAAGTGTTAGGAGGCCAATAAAAAAGTTGTGTATCATATTGATGGATCAATCAATTATTGAATGTTGTTTATTTTCATCGAATACTAAACTACAAACAACATTAATCAGTTTGATCCCTTAAAAGAGGTTATAAAAATTTAAAATCTACTCTCATATAAAAAAAAATTAATATTGCATATCAATACAAAAACTACGACCAACATTGTAATGACATACGGAGTATATCATATGCCGATTCGTAGTAATAAATGTTTTTTTAATGCATTCTTGTCCCTACCGTTTCAATATTTTTCAAAGGTAAGACAAAACTTACCATTCCGACAAGTAGTGTTTGGGGCTATTGTTGCCGGGTAGTTTAATAGTTTTATTCTCTTTGTATTCTTCAATTTCATCCTTTCAGGTTTTCAGCATTGACATGGTCAACGATAGAAAAGTCCGCAGCGGCTGAGTGAAGCCCAGGAAATTATCAGTGCACTCATAAATTATACTCTTTTAAGTTTTAATTTTATTTTCAAATTATTAACATGTAGATATTTTTTATCGGACACATTACACATAAAAAAAATAGTCTATTATTACCTGTCACATAAAGAAATAAAAGTGAAAAAGAAGAATTTAAAAATACATATAATAGAACTCGTGAAGCCTATAACTTACTTTCCCAAATCAAGAAGGCCTAGTCACATATGTATAGAGTCAAATTTAAAATTTTGTAATTATCAA